GGTTTAGGGTTTAGGGTCTTGAATCCTGAATTGCTCTTCAAGGGCCTCTGGTTGAAGGCGGCGTTGACACTGGAGCAGAGCTGCACGGCAGTGAGAGAGTGGCCGCCATAGGCCACGAAGGGCGTGAGCACCCCGACCTACTTCGGAGCTCGAGCAAACTTACTTGGTGGATTCCTTAAAAAAAAAAAAAGGGGTGCCTTATTGGGCGGTGACCATACCACGGATCCTTGTACGTGGGGGTTCGTATTTCTTCCTCGTATCTTCGAGAGTGAATTGCAAGTAGCATGTCTGGGCCCTAAAGCCTAAAAGTTGATGATATCAACACCGGAAACCCATAACGAAGGCTCACCACTGGCTTCTTCTAGACTGCAGGAAGTTTTAGGGCTTCCTGCGCTTCCTTCGTCTATAGACCCTGAACCCTAAACCCCTAAAGCCGGTAAAACCTTAACCCTGAAGCCTTAACCATCAGGACAGAGTTCTGTAGAGCTCCTCAATACAACTAATGTAGGGGTCTTAATACTTAGAATAGGTTTTGGGGTCCTTTACAGTACAAATATATATATATATATATAGAAATATGATAAGGAACCCCTTTTTCTAAACATTATAGTAGATTATACACCAACACCATACAGGCCCTCATGCTTACTCCCTTAACTGCTGTAGGGCTCGGGTGTTGCGCTTCTCTCGTCAAGCCGCCCGAAGAAATTCTAAACCAGCTGAAGACCCCTGAGACTGGCAAAGGGATGCCCTCTGACACCGCCCTGCGGGACGCAAGGCTTTTTTTGAATTGGACCATAAACCCCAAACCCCAAATCCGAAACCCTAAACCCCTAAACCCTAAACCCTGAAACCCGCCTGAACCTTCAGCACCTTCTCCCAGATTTCGACCATGGTCCTTTCTTCCTCCGTGGAGGGCGGCTCGTATTCTGCTGCTGCGGTGGTCGAGATCTCCTGAATCTGCTTAGGGCTTAGGGTCGGGCTCGGCTCATGGGTGGCGAAGGGTTCAGTGGAAGGTAAGGGCCCCTAGCTTGCGGAGCTTCTTGAGTTTATGTACTGTTGATGATATAAATCCTGCATTACCGTAAGGACCCTGAGCTATGAGAATTATGGTATACTCCTTATCAAGCGTAATGCAGGATTCATATCATCAACCGTATTTTGGAGGTTTTTTTGTAATTATAGTACAATATCCACAAAACCCGATTAAGGCTTCTAGATTATGTCGCTCCCGGAGTTTCGGAACATCATCAGCCGTAGTTCAGCGTAGCGGCTGAGGGCTTCAATTATAAAGGTAGCCTTTAGTGGTTAGGGTTTAGGGTTTAGGGGTTTAGGTGTTTACGGTTTAGGGTCCCTAACTAAACCCTAAACCCTAAACCCTAAACCCTAAACCCTAAACCCTAAACCCTAAACCCTAAACCCAAGTTAGGGGTTCTACTTTTTAGATTTTGGGATTAAGACCAAGCCCCGAGAGTCCAGAGCCAGCCCCCTAGTATAGTACCCCAAATAGTTTAGGGTTTAGGGTTTAGGGTTTAGGGTTTAGGGTTTAGGGTTTCGGGTTTAGGGTTTAGGGTTTAGGGTTTAGTAGGATCCTTACTATAAGGACCCCCAAAGTAAGGTGCCCTTTCTTTTCGGAAAACTCCTTCCTAAACCCTAAACCCAAATAAGACTGGCATCAGACCTGCTCGGCCTTAGAAGTCCCACAAGCAGATCTTAAGGCGAGGGCTGCTTTTGCTAAACCAAAAAGGCGCAAGCTTAATCCAGAAGCCCGATGCTCTCAATAACCTCGCAAGTAGACGTGCAGAAAGGAGTTTCGTACACCCCAGCTTGAAACTGTGACCCCCATACCGTAGTCCGTCAACCCCCCAATATCCCTCCACCCCAAGCTCATCGCCCTGAGCCTTCAACGCCACCCAAAGCCCCGCTCCAAAAATCCGCCTAATTTTTGCGAACGCAAGGTTGCCTCGAAAGCTTTGACAGCATCGGGCAGGGCCGCGCGATCAATCTTTCCGGCCGCATTCTTGGGGAAGGCCTGTGGATGTCGGGGGTTCAGGGTTCTGCGGTTTAGGACACCACGCTTGAAGCCTGGAAGCCCTAGAGCCAGGCCTCAAGGGGGATGTAGACGGATGGCCGCATGGCCGGCAGAAGCGAAGTACCCGCTGCCCATGCCTGCTCAGAATATACGCCAGTAGCTTGTGTTTTTTTGTGCCTTACACTTATGAAAAGTTTTGAGGGTAGCCTCGAAGGCCTATACCCTAAAGGCCCTAGCCCTCTTTGCAGCCCTCCTGAAGCGGGTCTGCCCAGAAGTTTCGAAACTCCGGGAAGTGGTGCCCCGGCCTTCATCAGATCGTTGCAGGCCTTCACGGGGTTGAAGCTGAACTCCACATCCTGCAGCGACGGGGCTTCGGGCTTCCTGAGGATGTCTGGTTCCCTGTTGGAGCTTTCTTAAACATGATCATTTTTTATTGCTTCTAGGGTTTTCTGATAGCAAAATGTAAATTTGTAGCCAAAAAAGGACCCAGACTTGGGATTCAAGGTGGAGGGATGAAGACGGGCGTTCAGGATTTAGGGGCCTTTTGAGCCGAGGGGCCTAGGTCTTAGAGTTACAAGTTGGGTTAGGGTTTAGGGTTTAGGGTTTAGGGTTTAGGGTTTAGGGTTTAGGGTTTAGGGTTTAGGGTTTAGGGCTCATGAGTTAAAGGTTTTGGGGCCCAGGATGAACCCGGATATAGGTAGGCAAAACACCTCCTGAACGAAATTTGTAGATGGCATCATCGTCCTTGCAGCTATAGGACGAGCAGCATCAAAGCAGTTGCCAGCAATACGATCCATTCGACAGTCCCGCAACCTCGAAACCCACCACCGCGCCTAAAGAAGCTTGACTTCCCTCATCCTCAACTGAGAGCATCGAACCCTACAAACACCTCTGGCCGCGAGAACCCCCAACAAAAAGGATCCTTCTGGCTGAAACAGCCCTCCCAAAACCCAACAATGACAATAAGAACCATAGTGATAGAGATAGCCATAACCCAAAAAACCTAGCAAAAAACACTAACGTACAGATGAAGAAAAGACCCTAAACCCTAAACCCTAAACCGAGCTCTCTATGTCCCCTCCTCCGGTTGGTTCTTGAAGGCGGACAGGTCTTCCGGAAGCTCCTCTTTGGCCCGACGAGGCGGGAGCTTCAAATAGGGTTTAGGGTTTAGGGTTTAGGGTTGAGGGCTTAGGGTTTAGGGTTTAGGGTTTAGGGTTTAGGGTTTAGGGTTCTGATGCAGGGGCCTTAGTACGTAGAAGATGGTTAGATACGGGGCTTTTTTTTTGTCTGCCGAAGACGACTCAAAGCCTTAAACATCTTGGGGTTCAGGTCGGATAGGAGAGGGCTTTGGAACACACACCAAGCTCCTGACCCCAAGACTCTAATGTAGGGGCCGAAATAACTACCTGTACTATTTTGGGGGTTCCTGATTGTAAGTATAGTATAATGGGCCCCAAAACTCTATTCTAACTATGAATGCCCCCATATTAAACTCTCTACCGGCAATCCTAAACTTCAAATCCGAAGTCCGACATCTCATTTACGGCGGATCGCATTTCCTGGAGGTCCGAGACTTGTGCGGGAAAGAACCTAAACTAGATTCCTAAACCCTAAGCCCAAAAAGACTCCTAAACCCTAGTGGCTAAGGCTAGAGGTTCAGAGCTGAGGCTTCCCATGGTCAACAATTCCCAAACTCGGAGCCCACGAACCGAAAATACGGAAACTATGGGGTTTAGGGTTTAGGGTAGCCTCAGCACCGAACCCTTACCCCCCTAAGCCCCGAAACCCTAAACCCTAAACCCTAAACCCTAAAGCCCTAAAGCCTAAACCCTAAACCCGAAACCCACGCACCCCAAAGCCCCCTCATCTAAGAAGCTCCGGAGCTCCTCTCGTGGGGCCGCCGTGGCCGCCGCAAGCCAGGAGCATTTCGACGCCTCGCTCTTCAGCACCACGAAGCGCCTTGGGTTTAGGGTTTCGGGGTTTAGGGTTTAGGGTTTAGGGTTTAGGGTTTAGGGTTTAGGGGGCTTTCATTCACTTTCGATGGCTTTCTGCAGTCCTCCAAACGTTGGCCTAGATTATTTGGGAAAGAATTGATTCGGGATATTCTTGGGTCCATGCTAAGATGCGCCTAGGTCGCCCGTTCCATGCCGTACCCAGCAGAAGGCCTACAAGGACAAAACCAACGGTACCAGCTAGCACAACTTTCCCAACCTTAACTGGAAAACAATCCTTGGCACCGCGAAGGGGCCCTAAACCCTACACCGTGGCAAAATACACGCCTGCTGACTTACTTCTAAAAGTTGGCACACCCAAAGACGAACACCACAGGCCGCGCCTAAAGCCGAGAAGCTTGCGCCACAATATTCCATAACATCCGAAACCCCAGACTTACACAACAAGAGCTCATAAACCCTCAACCCTAAACCCTCAACCCTCAACCCTAAGCAGGCCTCCCTAAACCCTAAACCCTAAACCCTAAGCCCTAAACCCTAAACCCTAAACCCCTAAACCCTTACCATGCCTAAGAATCGAATCACAGAAACAGAAAGCTTGCAAGGGAGCCAGGCCCCGAGCAAGAAACGCTAAATCCATAAAGCTCCCCGAAGCCCTCGAAAACATCTGGGGTTTAGGGTTTAGGGTTTAGGGGTTTAGGGTTTAGGGTTTAGGGTTTAGAATCGACTCTAAGTTTCTTACAGTCGGGGTATACTCTACTATAAGTCCTCCTACGCTGTGGGTATGTCATACTGAAAAGCTTTTAGAGACCATAAGAAGGGATCCTCTTCCCCAAAAACCCTAAAAAGCCAAGGCACAGGAAACCCGGATCCTCGCGCACACAAGATCGTCTTTTTGGTCTGTGGTTCCATAAGTCGGTTGAAATGTAGAGGCTTAAATAATTACCAATACTCTTTGGGGGGGTCCTTCTTATAATTATAGCATAATGGGCCCCAAAACCCTGTTCTCATTATCAAGGCTACTAAAATACGAGTTCCGAGACGACGGGAACGACATAGGGGCTTTTGGGCTGTGGGGCTCAGGTCCTGAAAGGCCGCTTCTTGATGCCCTTATAATTAGAATTGGGTTTTGGGGGTCTCTTATAATAATTAGAGTACACTATACCCCCAAACCTATTCTAATTATTAAGGCCCCTTGACTACTCGCTCGTGAAGCCTTGAGCTAAACGTCTTGCTGCAAGCACGAGCCAGCCCGCCCTGCTGTCCTCGGCCCAAATCACGCGCTGCTCCCAGCCTTGACTTAGTTGCTGGGTTCATAAGCCCAGAAAAGTGTACACTTTCGGCTTTATAGTAGGTAATATTACCCCAAAAAGTGTAAAGTGCATCCACTTAGCTACTGAGTTGTTTCAGGGGTGCTCTGCACTACAGCTCCCTCTCAGATGCGTAGCTGCAAAGAAGCAGTCAGGATCTTCAGAGGATGCAAATGATACGTTGATAGAATCCTCGTTCCCAGACTATTCTGGCTCCAGACCTATACACTTCAAGAAGCAAGCAGCCACCCCAAAACCAAAACCATGCATGCTGTAATCGTTCCGAAGAGTGCAATGATTAGATGGTTAGAGTAACATGGGCGCGCACATAGCTCCCTGCTCGCTCATTTTGTAAACGGACAGCAGTCTGTATTGCTTTCCCTTTTGCTGTTTTGCTTCATGTTGGCGTCTTCATAGGCAGGTCAGGTTTGAGGGAAAATGCAAATGACAAAGAGTCTACAGATCCCCAGCTCCGATCGAACATCCTTGATGCCGCTGCCAGAAACCCTGAACCGCAGGATTTCCAGCTCTGGAGCGACGAGCATACCACAAACTCAACCTCAACAAATCTCAGCCGCAGCCATCCGAGCCAAATACAACTGACAAGCTTCCCCCCTACACTCTAAACGAAGCCGCGGGTGGTAGACCCTCTAACAAGAAGCCGCAAGTCCACTTCCAGAAGCCGTGAATCCAAAACTCTGAAGGCCTAAAAACCGAAAGCTCTTATGGCCCAGGACCGTGCATCTAGACGAACATCTCCAACTTGAAACCCAATTACAGCTTACAACCCTGTGCCCCAAAACTGCGCAGAGAGGCCACTAAGCCCGTAAAGCCTAAACCCTGAACCCCTAAACCCCTAAACCCTGAACCCCTAAACCCTTAAACCCTAAACCCCTAACCCGTAAACCCCTAAACCCAAAGCCCCTAAACCCTCAACCCCAAAACAACTGGAGCCGCAACACCGGAAAACAGCAGAGGCCCCCAAGCACCGAAGTTCCCAGACGCGAGCCCTTCCACTCTAGAGATAATGTAGGGGCCTTAAATAATTAGAATGGGGTTTGGGGGGTTCCTTATTGTAATTATAGTATAGAGGGCCCCAAAACCCTATTCTAATTATTAACTATGGCACCATCCATAGGGTTTAGGGTTTAGGAGGGAGGAGGGTTTAGGGTTTAGGGGGGTTTAGGGTTTAGGACGGTTTAGGGTTAGGGAAACCAAGTCTAGGACACTTTCAGGTGGGTAGTTACCGTTATAGGAGGCTTATAGAAGGTCTATATACCTTATAGAAGCCTGTGGAAGTGCATNNCTCTCCCGCCCCCTCTTCAGTTTTTCCGTGCGATTGTGTTTGGCTCTAGGCTAGGCTTCGGAATTTAAGCCTTGGGTCAACACACCTTTTCACAACTTTTAGCACCGTAGTGTAGGACACCCTTGT